GAAAGACAGAGGAGGGACAAGCTCCACCTACTAGACGAGTGAAAGACAGAGGAGGGACAAGCTCCACCTACTAGATGAGTGAAAGACAGAGGAGGGACAAGCTCCACCTACTAGACGAGTGAAAGACAGAGGACGAACAAGCTCCACCTACTAGATGAGTGAAAGACAGAGGAGGGACAAGCTCCACCTACTAGANATTTTACAGTTAAAATATATGTTTATCAAATAAAGTCTAATGTTACAACTAATCGTGGATCCCTTTGAAGTGATACACGGAGAAAAAGGCAAATATAGTGTTTTGATTAAAATGTTTTGTCAAAACATAATGAATAAAAGCCTTATTAATGTATCATCTGAATGAACTGTCTGAAATATAACCAAAAAACAACATTTATGAAGCACTTTTTTGATCAGTAGCAACAAAAAAAAAAAACTGATTTTGAGGAAAAACGTCTTGAAATGTTGAGATTTTCCCTGTGAACTCACAATGTTTTTGTTTCTTTCCAGCTGGGAAATCTCAATATTCAAATATAATTTAAAGTTTCCTCTTTAAAAGGACATCAAAAATTCCTCATTAAAATGACTGAAAGTTAGGACTCAGACCAAATATTTATATATTATTATAACCAACAAGACAAATTAAGTCATATATTTGGATTTAATTGTGATATCAGGATGATCTAGGTATCAAAATGTAGCTTTTAAAGCCAAGAATCTGAAAATGTAATTACTGTATTGATTCATGTATAATACTAGATATTTAACCCTAAAAAATCATCCATAAAGTGGGGGGATGGTATTATACATGAGTTATCGATAATTACATTTTTATGCTTTGTAAGCTGAATAAATACGGTAGGTCATTTTGACCAAATTTGGCTTGATCCTCATTTTGAGATGACGGGTCATAAATGTGTTCTAGTTTTGGTTTGAAGTTTTTTTTTCCCACCGGCTAAAGTGGTGATTATGTGATTGTTGCAGTTAATCTGTTAGAAAGGTTGTTTATGAAAAAAAAAACACATTTTGGTGCCTATCAGGATTACATTCCTCTCTCTAAGGGCTGCAAAGTTTATAAAAAACAGCTGAGAATCATCATTACTTCATGGTAAACTTTAAAAATAATTTAAAAAATGATTTAAAAATATATACAGGAAGTAGCAAACATTTATAGCTTACCAAAGTAAGACAGAAATAACTAAATAAAATGAAAAACTTGATGACGAATTGTCTTAATTTTTCCTCTCAGTTTCTGGCGTTTTGGCTGCAGTTTGGTTTGGTTCCTGCAGAGGGCGCTGATTTGCATAAAGACTGGACCGAACTCGCTCTGAGACCGGTTCAAGTTTTACGTTTCTGCACTTTTAAAGAGACGACACAAGTCGAGCTGCTATTAACACTCGTGCCACTTGTCAACACGTCCGTGTGTCTAGTTTCAACAACTCGTCTTGTGCAGAAAGAAAGAGTTTTGCTCCAAAACTTCAACACAAAAACCCACGAGGAGGCGGCGAAAAAAATGGAAAACAGAAGTTTTGATGATGGCTTTTTTTTCCCTGTAACGTAAAAGGAAAAATTCTGAATGAAGCTTTGTTGCACGACTCTTTTGCATCCTTTAAACGTGCATCTGTAAACTGTGAAGACTCGTTGCTGTTTCAGAGTTTTGAGAGTTTTGACGCTGGCTGACAGAGGATTGTTGTCTCCTTCCTGCTGCAGTAAAGTGCTCAAAGATGCCTGCAAAGAGACAGAGACTCACCAGAGACAACTGTGTGTGTTTGAAAGGATCGTTTGATGCCAAGTGTTTGTGATGTCGGCGCAGCAGCAGCAGCAGCGGCGGCGGCAGTGCAGACATTCAGGGCCTGTTGGGCGATGAGCTTCCTTCCTGAGTTTCAAACTACGAGACGTTCGCTGCCCCTCTCTCCTCACCCAGTGAACAAAGGTTTAGACTTTCAAAGAAAATAACACGGAAAGGCTAATTCTACTCATCATCTTGATTAGCTCAGACTTAAAGGAGACCAAGTCTGACAACAAACTGTGCTTGTTTGGTCGAGGTAGTAGCAGCCGGCTTTGGGATTGCTCTGATTCGGCCAAAAGGCTGAGGAAGAGGGAGCGAGGGGGGGGGGGGGGGGGGGGGGGGGGGGGGGGGGGGGGGGGGGGGGGGGGGGGTTCTGATTGGACCCACAGGTTGGATACTAACGTTTGTTTGGCTCGCAGGACTCAGACGTTTGCATAAACTGGAGATTTGTTTTTGTTTTTCTTTTAATCAATGGTACAGTAATGGATAGCCTGAGTCCATTAAACCAAAGTTAGAGCCTCCCCACAATCTGATCATAGCCGCTGTGCGCACTCTGGTGAGTCTCTTCTGTCTTTTTAAAAACCCAAACCACAGAGCTCCTTCACAATAAAAGTCTCTCTCAAACGTTCCATCCTAAAAAAATAGTGCAATTCTTTTCAGCAATTATATAAATAACTCTAAACTCGTGCTTTCCACTCTCTCGGTTTGCATCCATGTGTGTATAAAGTCCATATGTAACAAATATACATGTCAACATGTACGTTTCAACATGTGAAGGTTGGCACCCCGCGTTTCTCTTTTAAAAAAAATAAAACTAGACAATAAAAGGAACAGAAAAAATAAGGAATGCATCACGTTTAAGAAGAAAATACCCACACATCTTCCCCCTTTTGATCATTTAAACTGCAGATTTCTTTGTGCAAACCTTCAGGAAACTGAAACAGATTTTAGTAAGAACTCCTGCAGGAGGTGGAGGATGTAAGGCAGAGCTTTCAGCTCCGGGACGTTCAGCGCTGCGCTACAACTGCTGATTACGCTAACTAACACGCTAAACGGCGCCAACGCGTCCCGGTGATCGGACCGAAGCTCGGTGCAGGAGTGAGACGAGAAGCAGCGAGGCGGGATTATCACGAGAAAAAAAAAACTTTCCAAGAACCAACGTGACGGGATCTGGAAGTGAGGAAATGTTCTTCAAAGGACAAACAAAAACAAGTAAATATTTATAATGCATGATGCAGATCAGTCACCTTCATCTTTTCCACCTCGAAGGGCTCCTCAAACAGGAAGTGGGGGTGCAGGGAGAAGCAGACGCTCCTCTGCGACCCCCCCGTCAGTCTAACTGCTGGCCCTTCACGGTGGGTTTCACCAGTCATGTGACCGGTCCTCGTCACACCTGCTGGGGCTTCTGGGATTTCTCCTTCGTGTTCCTCGCGTTCCTGCTGTCCACGCTTCCTGGCTGCTGCGGCAGCGGTCTGAGGAGGCCGCGTACGAGCGAGGACGGGGACGACACAGTCCGGGACGTCGGGTGGTAGTAGTGCCCGATCACCTCGCTGTAGGTGGGCGGGGCTCCCTCCGCGCGGGAGCCCTGCTTGTGCTGCCGGGACAGGGCCTCCTCCAACACGCTGACGCCAGAGTGGACGCTCGGGGGCGGAGCCTGCAGGCTGAGAGCAGAAAAAATGATGAATGATGTGAGGAGCGTTTTTTATTTTCAGGTTTAGATTTATTTTGGTAAATTTACACTACAAGAAAAAGAAAACAAAATGAAACTATTTTACAAAAACAAATCAATAATTTACCAAAAACAGAGTAGACTGAAGCCAAGACTTATACTTGTCTACCCTATTCAATGACCCTCAGTATACTGTACCTATAAGTATACGTACACCTTAAATATACATGTGTATACATATACATATGCACATACATACACAGATATATACATACATACATTACATGCATACATGGTTACAAAACATAAATATAAATCTATATCTATGATATATCTATCTACGTATCTATGTATATATA